GTGCTGCGGGATGCCACGGGATGCACAGGGGAGAGGGAGATGGGGACCCCACCCCCAGACCACATTTGGAGTACTCAGTGATCCTCAATGCTTTAACAGTTGCCCATCCAGCCCAGTCTCCAGCCCAACTCCATGACTCTTGGATGGTTGATGGGAGCAGGGGCTGATGTTCCCCTGCTCCAGAGACCCTGCCATGCACCAGCCCACAGGCAGGGCTTATCCAGGTTTCTGGCCAGAAAACACAAGAGCTGCAGCTGGAGCCACGTGCTGGGGTGTTGGCTGGTGCCCTGCCTGCTGCCCACAGCTCAGACCCGGCTGCAAATGTCAGAGCTGGCCCGGCAGAGCCATGGGGACAACTGTGGGCTGGTGACAATAGCTCTGAGTGTGGCACTCGGCGAGCCAGAAAGTTCCACTTGCTGAAAATAAGGCCGAGCAGAGACTTGCCTTGATTCCTGGGTACCACAGAGCCCTGTCCACGCCTCACAACCCACCTCCCCCTCCTGCCCCTGCCCTGGGAGGCATTTCTCTGGCCTGACTGACAGAGGTGTTGTCCTAGTTAGGACAGCTGAGTTCATCATGGTATGGGTGTAACCCAAAACTGTGTATTCTATAGCCTTCCATGCCATTTCCCAGAAACTGTTGTCAATAGACTATTAGCACCTCTGCCCATAAGAGCCTGACTCCTCAGGCTATAAACTAGGTGTTAAGAGGCCTGTGAGATAGGAGGATGCTCTTACCTTTTATGGAACTCCCTGAGGGAAGAACTGACCATTCCTGCCTGAACTGGAGAATATATAAACCTGGAGTTCCAGAACTTTTCAACCACTCGTGGGATCCAGAAGGAAGACTGCAGCTCGTCGCTCTCAACCTCAGCTGGACTGCAATCACCGCTTCTGACCAGACTGCAACAGCTCTCCCACCAGCAGGTTTTTCCCCTCTCCCTTTACTTCGGACTCAAGCGGGGCCCAGGGAACACCACTTTGTTCATGCCCCAGGGTACCAGGTTGTACATGTGGGTTTTGTGGGTTAGGACCAATTGTTTGTTTGTGTGATTGTGCTTGCTGTGTTGTTTTAATAAATTGTTATTCTGACTTGTGGTCTCTCCTTTGAGTTGAGTTCATTTCCCCTGCTGGTTGACTCTTAAACCAGCACAGGTGTCCATTTCAGACAGTTTGGAGCTTTCTTTTTTGCACCATACAGAGGGCTGACAACCTGTTGGTCAACGATTAACAAGGTAGAAAAGCATAAGGATGCTCAGCATGGGAAGAGGCAGCTTCCCTGTCCCTTGGTGAAAGATGGAACCTGCCCCACCTTCCTGGAACGAGCACCATGGCCAAACACTTGTTCAGCAGAGAGACAGGATGGATGAAAACCGTGTAGCCCCACATGATGCTGGTGAGTCTGGCTGCTCTGAGCCCTTGTACCACCCTCAGCTGCCCCGGGACCGTGAGGAGGCCACGCTGTTTCCGTGGCCTGCCCCTCACACATACCTTTCCTTTGAGTGCATCCATAAAGCCCCGTCACACCCCGTTACTGCGGCAACGCCGTCAACAGCTCATGGAGCAGGACTGGGGGCTGGGGGGCCAGGCAGGTGTGGGGCTCCTCGTAGCTATGGCAAAGGGGTGTTTACTTCTGTGTTTTGCACGTTGGTGTTACCCCCGGGACAGCTCTGAGTGTGTGACAGCAGCGTAAGGCTCTTTGGCATCTCCCCCAGCAGCTATGTCAGCCTTCGGGGGTCCGTGTGTGACCCGCACCTGCCACCGCGAGGGGACTGGATGCAGGAAGCATCCGTCCTTCCCAGAGCTCCACAGCTCCCGGCAAATCCCGGCAGGTCCCGGATGTGGCCCCAGGTGCTCTCGTGCTGGGTTTTCTCACCCAGACACTGCACTATGCAGCAATTCCCTTCTTTTCCCCATTGCGGAAGAACTTCCTGCCTTGCCCCCTTCCCATCAGACCGTACCCGTATCTGTGCCTTCTCCAGCAGCTTCTCCTCTCTTTGCACACTTGGGGGGAGACTCCCTGCGCGCTGGGGGGACACTCCCAGCCCGTCCCCGGGGGCGGCTCGCGGAGCGCTCGGCTCTGCCCCGGCCAAATCACAAAGGGTTTGGATCCCGCTCCCGGCGCGAGTGCCAGGGGCGGGGAGATCTTGCCTCACATCTATTCTTTCTAGGTACAAATCACGCATTCAAAAGTCAGAGCCCTTTCACTGGCAAGGGATGGGAGCTGCTCAGAGCCGGCCAGCTGCCCCAGTTCTGCTTCCCAGTTCTGCTTCCCAGCGAGGCCGCTTTCCCAGCCCGGCTCTGGGCATGTTTTACAGACAGACGCACCGAGGATGCATCACCCGGACTCCCGGCCAGCCCCGTCCGGGGGTCTGTGTCCCGCGGGTCACATCACAGCCCTGAGGCTGCTGGAACCGCTGCAAAGCTGCTGGTCCCTGCATCCATCAGCTCCCGCGCCGCTCCTCTGGAGCAGAGAGCTCGTGTTTAACGACCGCGTGTGTTTTCACTCAAGCATTACATCACCCGGCAACGCCAGCCGGGGGACGGACGGACGGACGGACAGACGGGCCAGCCCGGCTGTGCTGCCCCGGACGATGCTCATCCCCTCTCCACATCCTGGGGTGCTCCATGTCCCCAGCCCGTAGCCTTTTGCAAGGATGCAGGTGAATAGAAAATCCACTCCCAATCCCACACAAGTCCATGCAAAACCCACCGGGGGGCCAGCAGCTCATCCACAGCCCCCCCACCCCTAACACCATCCCCTGGCACGTCCCAGCATGGAGTGTGGAGGGCAAAACGTTCCCTAATTTCCACCTCCCAGATTTCCTGCGGCCACAGCCATCAGCACTTTCCCTAAAATAAAGTGGGAGCTGAGACAAGCCAGACAGCCGGGCTCCAGAGGGACTGTCCTGAGCGTGGATTGAGCTCACACTTCTTTAAGAGGGCGGCCAGGTTTGGGCCTTCACACCTCTCACAGCCCGGGAGGAACTGGGTGGATTTGCTGATAATTTGCTGCCAGTTTCCGCAGCGGTGGAAGGAACGTTGGGAATGGGGGGCCCTGATGACGGGGAGCCCCACGGGAAGGGGGTGCAGACAGGGCATTTCCGTGCTCTCACTCCCTTGGCAGCAGCTTGGGGCTCATGAGGAGGCAGGCACTGGGATGAGCAGCATCTCAGCTCCTGGCACTGCAGGGAAGTCGCAGTGTTGGACCTGCGGTGAGAGGGATGTTTTGCATTCCTTGTCCTTCATCCACACAGCAGGTTGAAGGAGGGAAATCTCCCCTTCTACTCTGCCCTCGTGAGAACCCACCTGCAGAGCTGCCTCCAGCTCTGGGGTCCCCAGCATCAGAAGGATATGGAGCTGTTGGAGCAGGTCCAGAGGAGGGCACAGAGATGCTCGGAGGGCTGAAGCCCCTCTGCTCTAGTCAGGTTGGGGGACCTGGGGGTGTTCACCTGAAGAGGAGGCTCCAGGGAGACCTTAGAGCCCCTTCCAGGGCCTAAAGGGGCTCCAGGAGAGCTGGAGAGGGACTTGGGACAAGGGGTGGAGGGACAGGACAAGGGGGAATGGCTTCCCACTGCCAGAGGGCAGGGTTAGATGGGATATTGGGAAGGAATTCTCCCCTGTGAGGGTGGTGAGGCCCAGAGAAGCTGTGGCTGCCCCATCCCTGGAAGTGTCCAAGGCCAGGTTGGATGAGGCTTGGAGCAATGTGGGCTAGTGGAAGGTGTCCCTGCCCATGGCAGGAGGTGGAACGAGGTGAGCTTTAAGGTCCCTTCCAACTCAAACCATTCCATGATTCCATGATTCATCCCCCAGTTTAACCCAGTGCCGCCCCAGCTGTCCCCCAACACCCGTGCAGAGATACCCCATGAGAAAGGGGCCGGGGTGGCCCGTGGGGACACGCAGGGCTGGGGTTTGGGCTCAGGGCTGACGGAGCCCAGACTCTCCAGCCCCAGGTTCGGGGGGCACCGGGGGCCGCGTGGGCATCACCAGCTCGGGCCGGGCCGGGCGCTGCGTGTCCCCAGGACACCCCTGGCCGGGAGGGCACCGCCGGGTCCCGGCAGCACGTTTTCCTGCAAACTGCCCGGTTTTCCCGTCCTGCCGGCGGCCGGACACCCCGCGCCCGCCACCTAACGGCCACCGCCGGCGGACACCGGCACCGGGATCCGAGATCGGCACCGGCATCCGGACACTGGCATCGGCATTGGCACCCACACCGGGATCCGGCACCAGGCACTGACACGGGGCACCGACACCGGGATCTGGACAGCGGCATTGGCACCAGTGCCGGGATCCGGACATTGGCACCGGAACGGGGCACGGGGCACTGACACAGGGATCCAGACACCGGCACCAGCACCGGGATCCAGACACTGGCACGAGCACCGGGATCCGAACATTGGCACCGGTACCGGGCCCCGGCCCCGGGCACTGGCCCCGGCACTGGCAGGGGGTTCAATGCACCGACATCGGTACCGAGATCCGGGCTCCGAGTACGGGACACTGGCACCCGTCACCGGCACCGGGCATCGGGCCAGTCCCGTCCCTTGCACCCCGCGGCTGGAATGGCAACCCCCCCGAATTCCCTCCCTGGACACCCCCATCCCTTCACCCAACCGATCCCCACCTCCATCCCATCCCCCTCCGGCCGGTGTCACCGGGATGCGGGACCCCCAGGTGCCCCCCGGGATGCGACACTCACCCGTGACCCCAAACCCCCCGTGGCACCCATGCGGGTGGGCACAGCTCCCGTGCCCTCCCCCACCGCCTGCCTTGGCAGCTCCCCCCCCTCTTCCAGCGGTTTTGGCAGAGACGCGCCGGCTTGGAGAGAGCAGCGAGGAATTAAAAGAAAAAAAAAAAAAAAAAAAGAAAAAAAAAAAGGGGAAAAGGGAAAAAAAACCCTCCCCGAGCAGCCAAGCCCAATCGGCGGGAGAGGCTCGTGTGTGTTTGGCCTTTCCTCATGACGTAGTGTCCTGTGCCTCTCTCCCCCCTCTCCCTCTCCTTTTCCCCTCCCTCCTTACTCCCCCTCCCCTTCCCCTCGCATCCTTGGAAGCAACAATTAAGCAGCTCTGGGATAAAACACACAGCCCGCGGGAGCACGGGGGCATTGCTTCAAGAGATGGCAAGGCAGGCAGCTGCACCCCTCCTTCCCGGAGTCCTCCTCCTCCTCTTCTCCATCCTCCCGGCTACTCAGCAAGGAGGTAAGGAACGAAAAGGCTCCTTCCCTTACCCCGGCCAGCGCTTCGCCCCCGTCCTCCGGGGACCCTCCGAGCCCCCCGGGCAGCTCCACGCCTGCTCCGGCTGCGTGGCCCCGAGGAGGGACTGTCACCCACCCTGCCCTGCCTTGGGGACATTCTCGAGGGTGGCTGGGTGGGTGGGCAGCCTCCCTCGCTGTCACCTCCGCGGAGGGCTCTTGGCTCCCCAGAGCGGCGGGTGGCTCGTGCCATTCCCGGGTGGGATGGGATGTCACCGAGGGTGGTGACACGGGGCAGTCCCAGAACGGCGCTGCTGCGCCAAACACTTGTCGGGGGGAGGCTCCGAAGTGCTGCGTCCTGGCGAGAGGCTTGGGGACACGAGAGGCTTGGGGACACGAGAGGCTTGGGGACACGAGAGGCTTGGGGACACGAGAGGTTTGGGGACACGAGAGGTTTGGGGATACGAGAGGCTCGGGGACACGAGACTTAGGGATACGAGGCTTGGGAATATGAGAGGCTTGGAGACACGGGAAGCTCAGGAACATGCAGGCAGGGCAGCGCGGGGTGGTGGCCACCAGACTCCCACGGGGCTGGCAAGGGCGAGGCAGGGGGGAGCTGGCACCGGTCGCCCCCCGGTGCGGTGGCAGGGTGAGCTGAAGGGGCAGCGGGTGGCAGCATCCCGCGGCCGATGTGTGCGAGCCGGGACAGCCCGCGGGGCTGGTGCAGCCGCGGAGCAGCTCGACCCACCCGAATCTCAGCCCGGGGGTGCCCGGGTGGCCCCCGCACCGCTCTCCCTGCACTGGTGTCACCAGTGTCCAGCCACCAGCGTGACGCGGGTCCCAAGGGCTGTGTGACACCCCAGGGCTGTGTGACACCCCTCAGCCCACGCACAGGCGGGCGGGGCGGGGAGGTGACAGCCCTCGCAGCAGGTGACACAGCCGGGGCCAGCGCAGCAGGTGCCTGCCCGGGGCCGGCTCGTGTGCCGGGGTCGGGTGTGAGGTCCCACCGAGGCGGGGAGAGCAGCTGAGCACAGACTGAGAGCCCACTGACACGGCCGAACCGGGTGAGGTGGGGACAGCACCGCCGGGGTGCGACAGTCACCTCTGCAGAGTCCGGGGTGTGCCACGGAGAGCGTGTGACGGGCAGAGCCACCATCGGGGGTGGGGTCGGTGCCAGAGCTTCTCAGACAGAGAGGATTGAGGACCAGAGGAGGGGAGGGGCCAGGATCCCCTGGGAAGTGCCAGGGCTGTGCGGGCACCAAGGCATCCCGACTGCCTGTGCCCTGCAGCTCCCTGCTCTGCCCTGGTGTGGGGGGCTCCCAGGACCCCGTCCATGGGCTGTTCCCCCCTGGCTGTGCAGGCAGGGGGACCCCAGAGCTGGGCAGCTCCTGTAAAGCCGAGCTGCTGTCGGTCCTGGTCAAGGTGCTGGATGGGATGTGCCCAGTCCCGGGCACTCTCCATGTCCAGCAGTGATGCTCCGTGCTGCCTTGCTGAGCCATGGTGGTTTTGGTCCCCAGCTCTCCAGCAATGTCCAACTGGGACATTCCCTGGAGGACTTTGGACTCCGGGGAGACCCTGCAGCAGTTCCTGAGCAGTTTGGGAATGCTGGCCCGACTCCAGGCCCCCACTCAGTCTCCAGGGGTGTTTCTTGGTTTGGGAAGCAGCTCACTGAGGAGGTGGCCCTGGCTGGTGGGACCCTGGGGAATGCTCCCCCATGGAGGACTGGGCAGTGTCTCTGCAGCCTGGTGTGCTCAGCCAGCCCTTGGGGACAGAGCTGGGACAGAGGCACAGCCGGTGGCACGGTGTGGGGGACACCAGGGTGCTGTGAGTGCACTGCAGGGGGCTCAGGGCAGCGTCCTCCAGCACCTCTGCCAGTGCAGCTCCAAACCAGCCTGGCAGAAAAGGGACCCCTGAGACATCCCAGAATTGAGGGGGAGAAAGGAGGACCCTCCTTCACACACAGACTGTCCCCTCAGGGCAGTGCCAAGGGGCTGAGATGGCAACACTCAGGAAGCCCCCAGCAATGGGTCAGGATCAGGCCCTGGGGGTCTGTCCCCTAGGGAGCAGAGCTGTGTTGGGCACCGTGGGCACCTGCAAGGTTGGGCACAAGTGGTGTGGGGAATCTGCTGTGCCTTCCCTTAAAGGTGCCAAGTGCAGTGTGCCCCAGTGTTTGGAGTGGGCACCCATTCCTCAGGACCTTCATCCGTCCCTCAGGGCTTCCATCCATTCCTCAGGACCTTCATCCATTCCTCAGGGCCTCCATCCATTCCTCAGGGCCTCCATTCATCCCTCAGGGCTTCCATTCACCCCTCAGGGCTTCCAAACACCCCTCAGGGCTTCCAAACACCCCTCAGGGCTTCCATCCACCCCTCAGGGCTTCCCCTGCCAAGCACAGGGGATCCCCTGGCAGTGACACCCACAGGAGGGACAAGAGGGACACCAGGGAGGACCTAGCCCTGCAGGTTTTGGGATCACAGGGGGCAGCTCTAGGGGTGCAGAGAGGTGGGTGCTGGGTGTGCTGGCACTGTGGGGACCCTGTGAGGGCACCCGGAATCCTCAGGGACACCAGTAGTGCCAGTGGTGGGGCTGGGATGGCATCTCCCCTTCCCAGCTGGACACTGGCCTGCTGGGGCTGCTTCCTCCCAGCTCTGAGGGTGTAGCTCATCTGCCAGCGCTCGGAGATGAAAGCTGGAGCTTCAGGGGGGCTGGAGAGGAGCCAGGGTCCTGCCAGCAGCCCCCCTGCTCCCCCCGAGCTGCTCCCAGTGCACTCGGGATGGGACACAACACAGCTTCAAAGTCGCTTGGAGACTGAATGTTTCCATAACTTTCTCCCGAGAAAAAGAAAACAGCGGAACCAGGGAAGAGGGGAAATGGTAGTGGTTACTCAGTGAGGCTCCTCCGGGAGCGGGTACCCACGGGCACGGGGAGGGCGGCGAGGGACGAGGCTTGGCTGCCCGGTGAGGGTGGGAGCTCCTGTCCTGTGGTGGGTTCTCCAGCCCGGTCTCAGTCTCAAAAGCTGTGGAATAGAGAAATCATGTGGATTTCTGGCTTGTGAAGTGAGCTGTGAGCAGTGAGGCAGGTAGGAATGATGCAGCTGATCCCACCAGGATCGGAAGCAGCACCAGCAGCGGAACAGCGTGGGCACCACAAACAGTGACCTCTGGGATGGAACTGGGGGAGAAAAAGGCCACTTTCTATAAACAAGGAGGCTCCACACCAGATCCTGAGCACCTCCATGGGTCAAACCCCACCACAGCTGGGGTTGCACGTGTGGGTGTGAATCCTCCTGCCTTGGGATGGAGAAGACATCCCTGGGGTGGGTGCTGGGATGCTGGGGGCCAGCACCATGCTCTGCAGGTTTACAGCCAGCCTGGCCCAGGAGACAAGCTGGGAGAATGGGAAACCCCCCTTGGTGGGTCCTGGCAGGCTTGGGGCAGGGGTAGAGGCAGCCCAGAGCTCCTTCAGTGCTGGGAGGCTGGGGACTCAGTTTTCCCTTCCCCATGTGCCAAGGGAAGGGATGGAAAGGACAAAAGGGGGCATGCAGACCCCAAACTGGGCTGGGGGCTGCTGGCCCTGAGGCTGGGGAAGGACAGAGACCAGCCAAAGGGTGATGGCTGTGGTCACAGTGTAGCAGGGCTGTTGCCAACACTCGGTGCTGCCCACGGGAGGGACTGGTGGTGCTGGGGGGGATTTCTCAAACCAAATGGGTTACAGAGACCCCTCAGCAGTGCCTGCCCCAGGGAACAGCCCCCCAGCTGGGCCATGGATGAGCAACTTGTAAAAGAGCTCCCAGAGAAGGGCAGAAGTGGCCATGTTTGGCAGCAGAGGGGTCAGGGAGGGCTCCTGAGTGGAAGGCTCAGCTCCCCAAAGGCATGCAGTGTCCCCCCCAGCCATCCTGGCTCTGCCAGGCCTTGCTGACCCCCTCCACCTCCTGATCTGGGCACAGAGGTGGTTGATGAACTGGCACAGCCTCTGAAAGCTGTCGAGGCACTGGGATGAGCACCGTGCCTTGGGCCTGGGGTGGTGTCCGGGGGATGCCCGGGGAGGGGGCAGTGACAGTGTCCCCGCAGTGGGACCCTCCTGCCAGGATCTACCCAGAGGGTGACGATGATGAAGGGCTGAGTGTGGCACCTGTGGCTGTGGGCAGGTGCCATCTGGACATTTCTGGGGTGCCCACGCACTTCAGGGGTGCTGGGAGCCATCCTGCCTTGTCCCAGCTCCCTGGGGGTGACCGGCACAGGGGGACAGAGGAGACCCCCCAGCACCACCCCAGCCCCAGGGACCTGGCCTGGCTGTGGGGGCATCAGGGGGGCTGAGCAGCCCCTCCGTGGTGGGGGACAGTCTCTGGCTGTGGGCATGGGGGTCCCTGGCCATCCCGCCAGTGGCAGTGGAGTGTCCCCTCCCAGCAGGGCGGGGCGGGGGGGGGAGCACAGGCGTTGCGCGGACGCTCTGAGTTTGTTTGGAAACAAGCGAGAAGTTGGGTTTTTGTTTATCCAAGCTGGGGGCGGGCGAAGGGGTGGGGAATGTGCCGGGAAAAGGAGCTGCTCCGTAACCCCCGGCCGGCTGCCAGGCCGGGCTGTGCCGTGCCAGAGCGGGGAGCCGGCGGCTGGAGCGATGGCTGAGCCCGTGTCCCCTCCGTTCCAAGGGACATCAGCTGCTCCAGGGCCCTCGGCCCTGGCAGGACCTTGGGAGGGGGTATTAGTGGGCACAGGGTTGAGCCCCACCCTACGGAGAGCACGTGGGGGCTGTGTGACAGGTCCTGGCACGGGAACCCCTCCTGCATGTGTGTCCCAACATCCCCTGTGCTTGCACAGCCTGACACCCCTATGTGTGTCCTGGCATCCCAGTGCATCCCAGTGCATCTCTGTGGTAGGACTGGGGTCTATCCCAGGTGCCCGGGGTGGTGAGCCGGGCACGAGGAACACCCTCATCCCTGCCACTGGTGGGGCAGAGCAGGGGGCTGTGGGGCACGAGGGGGGACCCCCAGAGTTTGCCCCCCATCTGAGCTGGAGATGTGCAGCATGATGTGCCCCCCACCGTGGTGTGCCAGCCCTGCCACCTGCCCGTCCCCCTCGGGCACTGGCTCCACCCTGCCCAGCCCCTCGGTGGGGTTGTCAGGGCTGTGTCACTCTGGGCACTCGGCTCCTGGGGGTGCTGGTTCCCCCCAGGCCTGGCCAGGCTGCAGGTCCCCAGGTCCCAGCCATGCCACCACAGGGTCCCCAGTGCCTACCACCCTGAACTCCAGCCCCTCTGCCCAGCGCAGGCAGGAGGTTTGGCTGCGGCTTGGCACAGGGGTGCTGGCCATGGCAGCCACCCCCACTGCTCCTGGCAGCCCCCTGTCCTGCAAATCCCACTGCAGACCCCACAGCAACCCCTCCCCTGGTGCCAGAAGTGAAACATCCCCCTGCTTTGCAGCCCCCTTGTGCCCCCAACCCACGTGCCATCCCCCGACCCATCCATGGCCCTGGTGGAGCTGGGGGCACCACTCAGAGGGTGGCTGCCTGGTGGTCTGCAGCAGACACACCTCTGCCAGGGTCCAAAGCAGCCAAAAACCTCGCTGTGACCTCTGAGCATGAGCTGAGATGCCCTGGAAGGTGATGGGACCTGGGGAGTGACCTCAGTGTCACACAGGCAGGCAGAGGGACACAGGGGGGTCTGATGGGTCTCAGCAAGGTCCCCCCAGTCTGTCACCCCGGTCCCACTGGCCTGAGCTGGCTCTTCCCACTGGCATCTCAGCAGGGCACGGGGCAGCCCCGGCCAGGGGGTTTGGTTGGGACCAGCATGGGATGCAGGGCTGAACTGGGACAGCCCCACCCCTGCCATGCCTGGACTTGTCCCCACAGAGCCATGAGAAGCTGGAGGTGATGGAAGTGGTGCTGGCTGTGGTACAGGATAGGATTTGGGAAGCAAAGCTGGACAGCAGCCAGCCCCATGTCCCTCCTTCCCGTGCAGGGCCAAGTCCTGCTGACAACTCTGCTGAGGTGCCACCCCTGGCTCCCAGCTGGGGCATCTCCCAGCGCTGTCACCACTGTCACACCGGGGAACTGAGGGGTGCAAGGAAAGGGACCTGCCCTCGAGCTCCACATCCCAACCCTCCCCAGGGAGCAGCACAGATCCCAGGAGGTGCCACACATATTCCTCCTCCTCTGCCTTGGACCCATGTGGGGATTTTAACGAGGGTCTCTTCTCTTGCAGGGGTCCCTGGTGCTATCCCGGGAGTGGGAGTCCCAGGAGCAGGCTTTTTCCCAGGTAAAGGGGTCCTGGCAGCACTGGGAGGGGCTTGCAGGGATGGGCAGGTGCCTGAGGGGGTCCCTGGATGCCTCTGAGACATCGTGGAAGGCTGAGAACCTGCCAGCTGGGATCAGGGCATGTATGGTCACCCTGTCTGCTGCTTAGCCCAGGGTGGCTGTCCCAGCACCAGCCCCACGGTGTGGGACAGGACTGGGTGGCAGTGCCAGACTTACCCCAGGGTTGGCACCTACACCCTGCCCAGACTGGGAGCATCCCAGGGGGGATGCCCCACACCCTTGCACCCTTGTGACCCTCCTGCCTCCCCATGGCCCCCCGGGAGGCTCGGAGGGGTGGACGGGTGCTGACAGGGGTGGGTGCTCAGGCTGTGCCGTTGCTCGCAGGTGCTGGAGTTGGAGGTTTGGGAGCAGGTGAGTGCTGGGATGGGAGGGGGGCAACACCCCCGGCAGAGCTGCCTTGGGGTGGGCAGGGGGTCTGCCACGAGGCTGGCCCCGTCCCACAGGGTGTCCCCCCCCGGGGGATGCCCGGAGGAAGGATGGCTCTGAGCCCTCTCCGCTCACTCTCCCGTAGGACTCGGGGTTGGAGCAAAACCTGCCAAACCAGGTAAGAGGCCTTTCCATGGCTCTCTCCATCTCCTGCCATGCCAGTGGCCGGGATATTTCCCAACCCCTGTTGCCCTCATGTTTCTCCTACATGGCCAAGAGGTGCCCCTGAGTCCGGGCACCTCCATGGCCGAGACATACAGCATCCCTGCCCTGCCACAGCCTCCAGGAGCCTTCCTCCCTCACCCCCCGCTTCGATGCGCTGCCCCCTCCCCTTCAGCCCCCCCGCCCACCCTCTGGGTGCGCTTGCTGCCTGCAGAGCTGTGCCAAAGCACCTGGGGGAGCTGCAGAGCCCGTGTCCCGTGGGAAGCTGGCAGCGTCTCCGCTCACCTGCCATCGTGGCTGAGCAGCTTTTGCTGGGGCTCCTGCAGCCGTGCTGGGGTTGGCCTGGCCTAGAAATGAAAGGGGTGAGGGGACATCACTGGGAGAGGGGTGAGATGCTGGCAGGAGGATGCACAGCCTGAGGGAAACAGGGGGGAGGTGCTGGGGCAGCAGGGACTGAATGTGCAGGGAGCAAATCTGATGCCAAGCAAGATCATGGAATTATACAATGGCCTGGGTTGGAAGGGACTGTAAAGATCATTTCGTTCCACCCCCTGCCATGGGCAGGGACACCTTCCATTAGTCCAGGTTGCTCCAAGCCCCGTCCAACCTGGCCCTGGTCACTTCCAGGGCTGGGACAGCCACAGCTTCTCTGGGCAGCCCGTGCCAGGGCCTCCCCACCCCCTGATGTCTTTCTGACATCCAATCTAAATCTCTCCTCTTTCGGTTTAAAACCGTTCCCCCTTGTCCTACCGCTATCTGCCCAGTGCCTTTTGTCACCCACGGAGAGATTCTGCTTTAGGCAGGCACGGGGGTCTCCCCTCCCTGCCCACCCCGGGGGTACCCGCTGTGCCCGGGGCAGGGTCACCCCACCTCCCCGGCCCCCCGACCCGGCCCGTCTGCGCGGCGGGAGCGCCAGCCCGAGGCGGGGGCCGGCAACCTCCGTTTACTCAGATTTCAGCTCGTGGAAAGAAAAACAAGGCCCTTTATTTCGGCGTAATTAAAACCAAACGCGGGGCGGCCGCGAGGGCTCAGCCGGAGCGGTGTCCGCGCCCCGAGCCAGCGGCACTGGAATTTGCGCCTGGAGGGAGCGAGGGCTGATGAGCCCCAGATGTTGGAAGGCAGCGCTGGCCGGAGACCCGGGGGCTCATTCCTCAGCCATAAACATTTTGGTTCCGTCCCCTCGTGGCCCGGCGGGGTGGGGGGTGGCTGAGGCAGAAGGGGACGGGATGGAGGACCCGGCTGCTGCCGAGGGCGTTTGTCACCCGTCGCTGTGCTCGTCCCCCGGGTGTGCTCCCATCCCACGGCGATGGTGCAGCAGGGACTCCTCTGCTCCTCCGGGCTGCCCACCCGCTTTTCTTTCCAGGGGTCGCAGGACTTGGGGGACTCGGCCCACTTGGCCTGCAGCCAGGTGAGCACAGAGCACCAATGTCCCCAGAGACCTGCCCTGGGGACAGCACGTCCCTTGTCCCCATCTCCGTAGCTCTCCAAACCCTGCCTGGGCGTCCCTTCCCAGACCTGAGGGACTACAGCCACCAGTAGGCAGCCCTGTGGTCCCCCAACACCAGGGCATCAACCACGGCGGGGTGACCCCAAAGGCGAGGAGCAATCTGGGGGCTGCAGCAGAGGGACAGTGCCTGCCCGGGGTCAGCCAGCCCACCCAGGGCTGCAGGGGTGGCAGCACCCACTGCAGGGTGATGTTTGCGACGGGTGGGATGCAGGTGGGAGCAGGAATTTGGGGGATGCAGGACAGGGCAGTGCCCGCTAACCACCGCCTCGCCCAGCCTAACGCCAGCCCTGGCACCGCCGCGCAGCCCCCGCAGCTCTGCACCCACCACGGAGCGCAGGACACCCTCCCGGCAGCTGCTTTTTGGGGATGCTCACGCCGGTGGTTCTCCCCACAGGTGCTGCAGGTCTCTTCCCAGGAGCTGCCTTCCCTGGGGGGGCCTTCCCAGGGGCCGCCGGGGCCGCGGCTCTCAAGGCTGCTGCAAAAGCTGGTGAGTGCCAGGGGGGTTGGGTAAGGCCATGGCCACACTGGGGCTCCTGCAGCCCCCGGGGACTCCTGGTGTCCCCTGGGAGTCTGGGTTAGGAAAGATTTCCCCCTGGAGCTGGGGGGCTGCAAGCAGCAGGTGCTGCTCCCACTGGGATCCCCCACCAGTTTGGAGGGACCCAGGCACAGGGGAACCGGCCAAACCCGAGCCCTCAGGAGCAGAGGGCACCGAGCTGCCTGGTCCCCGTGCCCAGTACACCCTGGTACTGCCTCAAGGTGTCCCCTTCGCCCCCCCAAGAGCCATCCTGACCTTGTCCCTTCTTTGGCACTGTTCCGGCCACCCGCAGCTCAGCGGGTCCTGGTGGTCCTGGCGGCCTCGGGGTCTCCACAGGTAGGAAACACCCCTCGTCCCCAGCATAGCCAAGCCTGGGGCAGACCTGTCGCCGTGCCCGCCGGGGTGGGCAGGAGCCGGTGCCCGGGCTCAGGGGTCTCTGCTGCCTGCAGGTGCTGTGGTACCGGGCGCGGTGCAGCCCGGGGTTGGCGCGGCAGGGAAACCCCCTAAAATACCAGGTAGGTGCACGGCCCCAAAGCCAGGGGCCAGGGCTGGAAACCGCTGCACCTGGGCCCTCATCCCTGGATTTCTCTTGCCTGGCAGGTGCTGGAATTCCTGGAGCTTTTCCGGGCGGCGTGCTCCCCGGAGCAGGTGAGTCGGGGGTCCCCATCCCACCAGCAGCACCCCAACCTCTGAGGGGGTGCCCACCCTGCCAGAAACACCTCAAACTCTGAGGGGGTCCCCATCCTGTCAGCAGCACCCCAACCTCTGACGGGATTCCCATACCTCCAAGGGGATTCCCATCCTGCCAGCATCACCCCAACCTCCGAGGGGGTCCCCACCCTGTCAGCAGCACCCTGACCTCTGAGGGGATCCCCATCCCACCAGCAGCACCCCAACTTCTGAAAGGATTCCCAACCCCACCAGCAGCATCCCAACCTCCAAAAGGATCCCTACCCTGCCACCAGCACCCCGAACTCCAAGGGGTCCCCCCTCCCAGTGCCAGCACCCCAAGTGGGCAGAGCACCCTGCCCTGCCCCTGCCTGCCTTCCCGTCTGCCCCGCGCTGCTCCCTGCAGCTTCCAAACCCTTCTGCTGAGGTCACGGTGACATTTCCACCGTGCCAACGGCAGGGGGGACCCGGCGTCTCCGGGGGTCTCGTGCCAAGCTCAGCGGGAGCAGGCGGCACCGGCACCGGGAGAGGAGCTGGCACGGCCACGGCAGGGCTGGCGTGGGAAGAAGGGGGAGGAGGTGGCGGGGAGAGAGGAATTCCTCAGTGCAGAGTAATTTGGGGGAGGAAAACTTGTGAAAACAAGATGTTTCGACACTGTCCGGAGAAGTGGTGTGTTGCTGGTCAGGAATGTCTTTTCCATGTCTGAAAACGCACGAGTTATAATGAAAGACATTTGTAAAGGGGGAAGAAAAAAAAAAAAAAAAACAAAACCAAACGAAAGAGAAACTCGAAACTCAAAAACCCAACCCAAACACTGCCAGGCCAAAACACTGTCTGCTGCCCCGGGAGGGTTGGGGTCCAGCAGGCAGGACCACCCCCTGCTCCCTGAAGAGTCCTGACGCCACTGTGCATCTCCCGGGCAGAGAGCACTGCCCGGGCTTGGCTGGGCTTTGCTGTCACTAGTGGGACCCACTCCTGAGTGCCATGTTCCCTCCAGACTCCCCGATGTGCCCCCCAAGCCCCAGGCACCTCCAGGGCTGCAGCAAACCCTTCCCTGGCAGCTGGGGGTGCAGGCAGGCTGGCACAGAGTGGTCCTGGCAAGCCCCTGAGGATGAGGGTGCCCTGTCCCACAGTTAGGTCTGAGCCAGAGGTGGGTGGCAAGGATTTGGGAGTGTGTGGTGTGGTGGTCTTGGATACCAGGAACATCATGATACCCCAGCTCACCCTCGGCTCTCTGCTGCAGGCATTCGCTTCCCTGGCGTAGGGGTGCTGCCCGGAGTACCCACTGGAGCTGGAGTCAAGCCAAAAGCTCCAGGTAAGTCCCTCAATCCGCTGGGAACACCAGGGTGGGTTCATGGCTGGCTCCAACTCTGCCCGCCCATCCCACTGGAGCTGGCCCCAGCCCATCCTTTGGGATCACAGCCCTCCAGGGCACACGGGTGAGCGAAGCCAACCTCCAGCTGAACCCACTCAGGCTGATTTGGGCCTCCAGGCCCAGCCCCGGGGCTCACACAGGTGTCCTTGTGTTTCGTTTTAGGAGTTGGGGCCTTTGGAGGAATCCCTGGTGAGTGTCCTGTCTCTCTTGCCTGTCCTTCTCTTCCTTCCCAAGCCTGTCCATCACAGCCATGGTCTCCCCACACCAGAAGATACCTCAGGGCTTCCTAGGACACCCACTCTCCTCTCCCGGGGTGCCCTGGGGCGCTCCCCTCTCCCAAGGACTGGTGGCGGTCGTGACGTGGGCTCCAGGTGAGAGTGTGCTGTTGGCTTTGCAGGACTGGGAGGTTTTGGAGGTCCACAGCCCGGTGTCCCTCTGGGGTATCCCATCAAAGCTCCTAAGCTCCCAGGTAAGCTGCTGCCACAGCCAACGGGGCTGTGGGTGGAGGATCCCCGGCAGTGTCAGGAGAAGGACCCGCCGTTCCCTGGGGCTGTGCCCACGGGTCCCCTGGACCTGGCAGTGCTGGTGCTGGCCCTGGGACAGCAGGACAGAGCTCAGGGCTCTGGGCAGATGGGCCCCTGGGCAGCCCTGCCTGTAGCTGCCCCATGGGCAGCTGCTGGGGTGATGCCTCTGCTCTTGCCCCTGGTCCATGTGGACGATGCTGTGCCTCTCTCCAGCTGTTGTAAGGTAGGAAAGGTCGTGTTCTGGGGACGTGCTTTGGGCCAGGCCACTCCGGGATGTCCCTGCCAGCTCCTCCTGGCAGGAGGCACAGCCCTTGCAGGGGCTGTCTGCTCACTGTGCCTCCTGGGGTTGTGCCAGGCATTCACCTGGGCCAGGCGTCCTGGCTCAAGAAGCTGTGCCAAGGAGCTCCAGGCAGGTCTCCCTCTCCACTGCCCACCCTGATGAGGCTCAGCCCGAGCCCAGGGAAGTCTGGTGGAGCTCGGCACCCCCTTCCCAGGCAGGGCTGATCCAGGGGCCTCCATCCCCCTGCCCTGTGCCAGCTCTGCCCATGGAGGGACAGTGGCACGTGCTGTGCCCTCCGGGGGCCGTGCTGCCAGCTCCAAGTGCATCCCCGAGGAGGAGATCAGCCAGATCCGGGCAGGGACCCCCATCCCTGGGGTGCTGCTTTCCCCACTCACCAAGTTGCTGCAGGCAGGAGAGCCTGGGTGAGGGGAGCCCACCCTCGGGAAGAACATCCCACCCTCGGGAAGCACATCCCAGCCCGGCACGGGCGCCAGCCCCGGCAGCTCTGCCGGCTTCCCCCCGACGGGGCCCGTCACCACAGACGGCAGCGGGAATACTTGGCCCGCCCCGGTTTCCTCCGCCGAGCGCAGTCACGCTCGTTAGGGCCCCGCCGCCGGATCCCGTCTGGGCTCCCGGCCCCAAACCGCCTTTCATGGGGTGCCCGGTGCGCAGGACAAGCTGCCAGCTGTGCCTGGCTCTGTCCCACGGTGGCCCACAGCCCAGCTGACCCACCTCCGGGGGAGCCATCACCAAATATATCACGGGAGGACACCCGCCCCAGGGCAGGGAGCCCCATGGGGCAGGACAGCGGGGCTGTCCCCAGCTGCGGTTTCATCCGGCACCCCGGACCTTCCTGGGGTGTTGGGGATGCCGATTTTAGGGGTGTCCCTAGCTGTGCTTTCACCTGACACTCGGGTTGTTCCTGGGGTGTTGGGGGATGTCAGTTTGTCACCTCTGAGGATTTGGGGCTGGCAGTGCAGGAACAGGCCAGGCTGGCTGTAGAGGCTCTTGTTTTGATGCTGCAAATGGATCTGGGGGCTGCCACACATGAGGGTGTCCCCTGCACTGTCCCCATTGCAGTAGGTCTGGGTTGACAGGGGATGCGGGGACAGAGCAAACTACACTGTCAGTGGGAAGTCACCTTTTCGGATGATTTGCTCCTGTGCTGTCCCTGCTCAGGAGGTGGCCCTGGGGTCACCCCCTCGCTGGGGGCTCAGCTGGAAGATGTGGTTGAGATCAGGGTCCCATTGATGCCGTAGGGATCCCAGTGTCCAGCTGTACTTGGGTGACATAAGTCTGTACAGAGCCCTTCCCGTGCCACCCACTGTGCCCATTGGCCTGAGCCCCCCTGGCAGTTCTGGTGACATCCCCGTGGGCACAGCTCCAGGGCAGGAGCTGCTCTCCCATCCAGCTCAGGGTGGGGAGGGGTTGGACTTGGACCCGGCAAAACCCTTGGACATCCAAGGACCTGGACTCTTGGTCCTTGGAGTCACCTCCAGGAGTGTCACCCCAGTGCCAGACCCTTTCACAGCTCTGGGGAGAGCGAGTGAGGGATCCTCGATGTGGGGGACACCCGGCACAGCTCACGGCTGCCACAGCCTGCAAAAGCCTCTGCCTTCCAGCAGCACTGTGCTGGTGTGGGACGCCACGGGACAGCCTGGCAGGGTGCAGGGAAATCTGGTCCCCACATGCTGGCTGTGGGAGGGGATGGCGTCCTGCTCTCAGGGAGATGTTGGGCCAGGAGCAATCCTGTCCTGCCCCCTCAGCAGGAGGGCTTGGGGTGTGAGACAGCCTCCACCCTGCCTGGTGTTCCCATCAGGAATGTGGCAGCCCATCACCACCCCTCTGGCTGCTGCCAGCAGTGATGGGAGCTGGATGCTGCTCCCGAGGGCACAGTTCCCGATGAGTGTGGGGCATCCCCGCGCCGTTCCGAGCGCTGGGATCCGGCTCTTTCGCAAGGAGACGCTTCCCTGGCCATGATGTTCCCGCTCGTAATCCCTCCCTGTCCCTTCATGCCGACCTCCTAACGAGGTCACGTTTCAGTGGAGGCTCCCAAGTCCTGATTCCAATTAAAACCTTTCCTCTGGAGCTGGCTGTGGCGCAGCCAGCTGGGTACAGCTCTTGCCGCGGGGCTCCCAGGGGACCCCCCGCTGGAGCGGGGTCATGGGAGGCTCCCGCAAAACCAACTTCAGGCACCACAGCCCTCGGCACAGGGCTGGGAGTGGGCAGCTCTCCTTGGAGCCACTGCTTCCAAGGTGAGGGAGAACAGCATCTCCTGGCCTGGCTCCACCACGGAGATTTGTATCCTGGAGGATTTACTATCCCGATGCACAGCCGGCTGGCAGAGAGGGGCAGGAGCACAGCCACGGGCAGCCAGGTGCTAACCCCCCACCTTCTCTCCTCTCCAGGTGGCTATGGATTGCCCTACACCAATGGTAAGCTGCCCCACAGGGAGTGCCCGTAGCCCTCACCCCACGGTCGTAGCTCCTTGTGGCTCCACCGGCTGCCACCGCGACCCTCGGGGCGGCGTGAGGGGCATCCCTCTCCCAGGTGGTCCCCCGGGGACCTTGTGCCTTGCCCATGATGGCTGTGGGCCTGGCTGGGAGACACTCAACCCTCCCAGTACCCCATGCCATGGGGCTGGGAGCTGTTGATCCGTAGGACACATCCTGAGCCACCGGCAGCTCCAGGCAGGGATGTTTGAAGTGGCATCTCGGCTGCGGAGGAGCTGGCTCTGGGCATCCTTCTGTGCCAGGGGGAGGAGACCCTTTGGGCCAGGGAGCTGCTCCTTCCACCTCCGTCCTCGGGCCGGTGCCTGACGTGGCTGTGCCGTTGTGTTTGTGGTTGCAGGCCTCAGGCCCGGTGGGCCAGGAGCAGGCCTTGCAGGGAAGGCAGGGTATCCCACCGGGACAGGTACACTCCGACCCCGCAGCCCCAGGGTGTGGGACTGGCACAGGCAGGGCAGGGGGACCGGGCACCCTGTCCCTTTGGGGTGTTGGGCACTTCCCGGCTGTCTGGTGACCCCCAGGGAGAGCCTGGAGTGTGCATCACGTCCCAAAGGTGAAGGGGACAGATGCTGGCAGGAGTGCCCGGTCCTCAGGGTCCCTGTGGGGTGGGGGAGCCGAGGTGGGGACGGTCTTGGCACCTCAGTGGTTGCCCATGTCCTTCCCAAGGAGTCGGAGCTCAGGCGGCCGCAGCAAAGGCAGCAGCGAAATACGGTGAGTGGCCCTGCACGGCACATCCACCACACGTGTCCCCAGCGGGGCAGCTGGGCCCTCCCTGCCAGGCTGGGGGCACGTTGGTCGTGTCCCTGCATCGCTGGACTGACCACCTTCTTCTCCCCTGTGGCAGGAGCCGGTGTCCTGCCCGGGGTTGGCGGCATCCCAGGAGTCGGCGGCTTGGTACCCGGTGTGCCAGGAGTTGGAGGTGAGGGGGTGACAGGGCTTGGCCCTGGGGTTCAGGGGGGTCACCTCCCCTTGTGCCACCCCCCGACTCTCTGATATCCCACAGTTGGAGGAGCAGCGGCGGCGGCGGCAGCAGCGAAGGCGGCGGCAAAGGCAGGAGCCCTTGGTGAGTTCCCGTGCCTCGGACACATCTCAGGACATGGAGAAGCCTTGCACTGATATCAGGGCTGTGTGGCTCCACCAGCTGCCCCAGCAGCCCCTGTCCCACCTCCTGGGGTGCTCTCCCAGTTCTCTATCCTGGCTCCTGCAGCTTTTTGGGCAGTGATGCAGCCTGACTGGCCCCTCGTGATGCAGCAGCCTGGCACAGGGCAGTGCATCCCCCTCACACGTGGTTTCTCCATAAGAGACAGGGTTTTGCTGTGCCAGGTGCCAGCAGGGTGTCGAGGGACATGTTGTCTGTACTGAACTGTCATTCCTTAGTGGAGGGATGCTCCTGGTGATGCAAATCTCCTCCTCTCTGTTTCCTCCTTGGCTGTTTTGAGGGAGAAAAATGAGTAGCAAGCCACTCATTGGAGCATCCAGGGAAAACGTGCCAAACATGGGCACAGCTGGGATTTACAGCCCCAGCCCTGGGGGTCCTGGGTGGCTGGGTGTACTCCAGACTCCTGAACTGGGCGTAGGGAGCTGGGAATTGCAGTCCTGGGTGCACTTGGGTTCCCTGAGCAGCTGCTTTGTGAGGAGGGGGAGCCCACTACAAAGCCAGGTACCCTGGAGTCTCCTATGACCCCGGGACAGCCCAGTGGCAGAGAGGGGTGTTTTGGGGGAGTTTGACTGCTCTGCTTCCCTCCAGCTCCAGGGGCAGTGCCTGGAGTTGGTGGTGTTGGTGTCCCTGGCTTGGTCCCTGGCGTTGGAGCTGTCCCAGGACTGGTGCCCGGCGTTGGAGTCCCCGGGGTGGCAGGTGACTGTTCCCAGGAGCCCTGTGCCCACCCCCCGGCTCTGTGGGGCCCTGGTGGCTGAGGGTCCCTCTCTCCTTGTCC